GATTTTAATTCCTCCCATTAATGCAAAGCATAGTGAATGTGCTTTCAGCTTTCATTATGTGCAGAATTGGACATCATTTCCTAAAGATTCACACCGTTTCTCCATTCCTGCCACTGATTTCAGCACTAAAGAACTGAACAGCTACAGAGTACAGAGCATATTTGTTGATCACTCTGCTTTTCGAGAAGATTGGTTTCAAACTACTAATAGCATAATGGATGCATAAACACTCTCCAAAAAGGTCAGTGCAGTTGCTAATATAATGAAAACGCTTTTGATTGCTGCTTTCATGTCAGGAAAGCCAGATAGAGTTTGGTCAGTTTAATAAATGATTGGTGCCGTGGCTGGTGGCAGAGCTGCATACTAAGCAGCAGCAGCAGCACCAGCAGCTGATGGCAACAGTTAACTATGAGGCTTGAGAAAATGACATTTTCAAAGAGACGAAACAGCAGCATAACTGATCAGTGCAGAAAAACAGGGGCCTGGCTCATTAGACGAGAACTGCCATTTTGAAAGGACAGATTTTAACACGGGGCAACTGGAGGAAATAGGATGACATTCTCTTGCTGCTGCAATTTTCTTCACACATTTATTAACTATAGATTTTAGAAGGAAAATATATTTAATAACCGCCAACAATTCCCACAAGAATTGCTGTCCCAAATGCCAAATAGATCTCTACACACAGACTGATGTTAGACATACCTAGAGGACGTGTAACAAACCAGTCACAGGAGAAAGCTCGTTCCTGAGGCATTACACACACACACACACACACACACACACCCTTCCCTGCTCCTCTTGCTTAGACCCTGGCTTGTCAGAAAAAGACACATGACCTTATAGGCTGCAGGCTCCTGTGTGTGTGTGTGTGTGTGTGTGTGTTTGTGAGAGGTGGGCTTCGGGGGACGATTTACTTTTGTCCATTAAACTGCCAGAGAAACTCACTTGCACATCAAACATAGCAGGGCATCTCACCCGACCTGTCACATATGCCTCCTAACCAGCTCACAAGGCCACAGCGGCTCACTCAAATGCACTGATACACTCACTGCAAACACTATTCCAGTGTATCGATCCTTGAGCCTAAAACCTGACCCCACAAACAAGTGCCCATTCAACTCAAAACACCTTACCAAATATGATGGAATTCCCTGCAGTGATAACAACGGATATTTATATCTGTTGTTTATATGCTTATAAGCATGTGGTTGGCATTAATGGCAGAGCCTCTCTGTGAGGGGTGTGGCAGCGGAGACGGTCCAGGCAGCCATCCTCACAATTCAAACAGCCTTCAAGGGTTAGTTGCTGCAGAGAAAGCCATACATTATTCCATGTGTCGCACTAAAACCTCTCTCTCTCTCTCTCTCTCTCTCTCTTTCTTATGATCACCTTGACCGTGATGAGCACCGGTGCAGAGTTAGGCACAGATTGGCAACCACATGCTGAAAATAAACGCCCACAGGCTGCAAACACAGGCTTCCCTGCAAGCTCTACATATAAATAATGTTGAACCGTATGGTGAGGATGTAATGTGTGGGGTTTTCCTTTCACATCCTGGTGGGGGTATTTTTTTTTTTAACACAGCAGCCACGCGCTTTGCACAGGTGGCCGCCCTTTAATGTGTGCGTTACGGACGTGGCTTTTCTTGACATGTAGGCTATTATTAGATGGGAGGGTAGGGGGGGGTAAAGTTGGAAACAATTGCCTGTGGCATTAGTGGTAGCTTGACTGAGATGGCAACTTAACATGGCGGAGACCCTGGCCGGTGCAATGCAATCTCCGTGAACTCTGCGTGCCTCTTTGACTCTGCACACCCACCTCAAAAGCAAACCAAACCCTCCGTTGTCCACCCCCCTTAATAAATAAATAAATAAATCCTCACCCTGCAGCAGCCCTGTGGTCTTGTAAAGTCGACCCCCAAAAAACCAAGCCGATGCCGCTGGAGTAGTCGACAATTAGAGGCTCCACAAGTTTCGTTCATTCAAATGAGCATCGCAGCCTCTGAAACGCAACTTATAGCAGCGATCCATCCAAAAGCCGAGCAACGCAGTCACACAGAGAGGCTTCCCATCCAGACTCACGCTGGGCTCTCTCTCGCTCTCTCTCTCTCTCTACCTCTCTCACACACACACACACGGCGTGGGGTTTTATTCTAACGCTTTGGTCGGAGAGAAGGTCAGACAGATCGCTACGTCTGCTGCGGGGGAGATGGGCAGCGGGATATAAAGCCGATTACAAGGTAGTAGACCTACCTTCAGGTCCTCTACTGGGGCATTTCAGGCGAGTCAGCCCTGAGAAGATGCACATTAGCCGACAGTCCCGCTCCTCGGCAGTAAAATATCCTCCGCGTTGAGGGAAATTTCCAAGTGGCCGGACAGTGTGTGAGCAGCGGCACTGTGTGTAAATGGGGAGGTGGGGTTGGGGGGGGGATAATCCCACGGTGGGGCAAAGAGGAAATGCGTCATTATTAATGGACCGAACGCTTTGTAGTCCATCCATACACCTCCGTAGTCCACAGCCACTACAAATGTGGGTGAATTAAGTGACATTTATTTATATTAAAATAAAAAATATATATATTAAGAACAATTACCTCACAGATTCTTCCACTAGTATTGAGGCTTTTTTTTGTTTGTTTTTAAATGACTGGTTGTCAGCAGACTATCATGTTAAATCTGGTTAATAAGTAGGCCTAGATGACCTTTAAGTATTGGTTTGAAGCCCACCAAAAAAAAAAAAGAAAGAAAGAAAGGAGAATCTTCTGTGAAAGGCATCCAAACATCACCATCTGCTCAAATATTTGAGAGGAAGTTCAGAAATGCTCATTGTTTGTTTTACTGAAGGCTGGTTGGTGAGGAGCCCAGGACCTCAAACAGCCAATCTTTATGCTTCTCCTTCCCATTGTCCCACTACCCAGGAGGCAATTTCCCAAGAGCATCTCCAGCAGTTTAGTACTGACCTTCTAAAATTGTGGGGGGACTTGTGAGACGCAGTTTAAAGACCCCCTCCTGACATGTTTTAGGACCTATAGTCTGTGTGAAATGTGTCTGATATGGTTTTTCCGAAGAAAGGTTCAATTAACTACTTAAAAATATTGTAATTATAGTCATCTACTCTTTCTCCGTCATTGTCCATCCTCAGGATTCGGCAGTGCAGGCTTCAAGTTTCCATGTCACACTTCGAACTCTACACAAAGATCATTCTGCACTGTGAAACATCCAAGTAACAAACAAGAAGTGGACGGAGGACTTTACACTTTAAAAAATGCCAAAAATCAAGGCCAAGGTATCCTGACTTTTAATCCCCTGTATGGGTTCAGCTCCCAAAACTCCCATAATACAGTTTTCTAGCCTCTTGGATCTGTGCCTGGAAAATGTTCACATTTTGCTATATTTGTAGTCGCCCAGCCCAAGCTGATATAACCCTGATGACATCACTATGACCTCATCCGAATTATTTTCCGAAGCTCCACCATAGTCACAGAAGATGTTTTCAACCGTTTTCACAGGCAGTGTGAAGTACTGCTCCTAGTGAGTAAACCGATCATTGTGTGTGAGACCGGCGGAGTGGCCCTTTAAGGCTAAGCTCTGTGGTCTAAAATTATTTTAGCCGTAAAACACTTAATACGTGGCCCAGCAGCTACCTGGAAGTGGGACATTTGATCTTGTTTATTATTAACTAATTTTTTGCAGGGGTCAGTGAAGTTGAGGTAGTACAGAAATATAAACTGAAGGATTGGAGGCATTTGCTCGACATGCTATAAGTGGACACTGGCTCCTTGTTGTCAGGCTACGGATGGGGGAAATGTGAATCCAAGGGGGGCAAAGCTTAAAGATGTTGACCCGAGCCGGAGCAGGACAATCACAGCTAGATTCCAGACATTCTGATGGAAGCCCCTTGTTACTGTCAGACCCTTTAACACGTCTGCCTCACGCAGAGGTCTGTCTGCCTCTATAATCTCTATACTTCCACAAACACACCTTCCAGGCACAAATGTCTACTTGGAAGTTTGTTGTCATCTGTCTATAATTCATGAAAAAACATGAAAACGTTGTTTAAAACAACACCTACTGAACCCGTTTCCATAACCTCAGGGTCACAGGAAAAGTTATTACCTTTGAAATAAGATCCCAAAGATTTTCTTCACTCTGGCAGATTTTCATGTTGACACTTTTTGCGGTTTCCTTTCAACAAGCACCCGCAGGCATGGAAGAGGGGGAAAAAAACCCTTTCAAGTACAGCGGACCTACCACATCAACAGTAGAGATGTCAGGTTTTGGCCTATGCTCAACTTACTGTAGTTTGATGAAGTGTTTCTGTACTGCAAACGCTGAAAGTAAAAAACCTTTCTGAAACGGTTTCCAATAGTTAGTGTGCATGTGGCAACTTAAAAGTACTGAGCATAAAAATCTGTATATATGTTTTGATCTGTCAACTATGCGAGTAATGTACATGAGTTGAAATCAGACAAAGGCCACCACCTAGTGGCTAAACATGTGCAGTGCATATAACGGAAAACACATTCAACTATTTGTAATTGTGGCAAGAAAAAGAATGGATCACAAAAGAATTCAGGAATTCTCCACAAACTATCAATGCAAGACATACATTAAAAAGTCTAAATGGGTTAAGAGAAAGTTCAGTCAAAGTAGAATGTATTTTTCTTATTTAGAGTGCTTTCCGGTTTCTAAACAGGGTAATAGTTCAGTGTAATCTGCCAGTTTATTTTAATATCATATCGTGGATCGTATTTAGTTAGATGCGGTCAACAGGTTGTATTTGAGAATTTCTTTACACTCGCCAACCAGGTCAATTCCTGTTTTTAGTATTTCAGGAAGAGAAGCTATGCTTGCACAAAAAGACCAAACAACAGGACCAACACACCTTTGAAACCCCATTTAGCTTTTGCTAAAAAGGGCAATGGATGGTATATTTTTCAAAGATCAAACATTTCAAAATTGCTTGAATAAATAGTGATGTCAATAAAAGAAGGTGAGAAAAATATGCAATTAGATTTTACTTTGAAGTCAAAAAAATTTCTGAACACACATACCCAAACAGAGGATTTATTCCATTATTGGAAATGCATAGTCGTTATGTTAGTGCATTGTAAATATTAGGACTTACACTTATAATAAGTGACTTTACTTGGCAAAAAAACAAGACTTGTCACTGCCATTAATCTGTCTTTCAAATTATCTCTTTTGGCAATTGTTTGAATGATTGTATGGTAAAAAAAAAAAAAAAAAAAAAGCACACCGTTTAGTAGAATATCCATCCCCAATAATATCAAAACGATCAATTATAGTCATAGCGGGCATAGAAAATCAGCCTACTGTAATTCTAACTTGCTTACTGTTTCTGCTGACAATATTATACATTTAGTGTCATCCCAACACTACACATACAGTAACATATCCCACCAGAGGCTCTTCCACTTGCAAACATACAAAAAACACTTCTACTCATTTTCCTTTTCCTCCTTTACTTTGGGTTTTGGCTCATGTATATCGGATTCCATCCCCGGCAGACTAGTTCTCCTACGTGCAGCCGTCTCAATCTTCTGCACCAGCTCCACATCCCACGGATGAGAGACGAAGCTGAGCACCTCCCCGTCCTCCATCCCTCCTGCTCTTCCCACCCTTCCTGCCCTGTGAATGTAGTCAGTATGGGATTCTGGGCAGTCATAGTTGACAACCAAGCGCACTCGGGATGTGTCCAGGCCACGTGAAGCAATGTCTGTGCATAACAGCACATCTACCGCGCCCTTCTGGAAGGAGCGGAAGATTCCTGCACGCACGGCAGCAGGCATCTCCCCTTGCAGACGTGCGTGCTGCACCCCCATCTCATCCAGCGAGTACCCCAGCCAGTTGACGGTGGCAGATTTGTTGCAGAACACCAAAACACCGCCCCCTCCTTTCTCCTGTTGGAGCAGCTTCAGGGCTTGGTGGAGCTCCAGGGTCTTGTCAGCACCCTTCACCTTCAGGAACGTCTGCTTGACATGTGGCATGAGGAAGTGCAGCATCTTGCTCTTGATAACCACCATGCTGCCAAGGTCTGTGACCTTGCTGAGCACTTCCCCGACACCACCGGGGAAGGTGGCCCCCACTACCAGCAGCTGGGCTTTGTGCCCCAGGCCTCGTGTTTCCTTGGGATTACTAGCGATGCTTGCACGGAGCAGGATGTCCTCCACCATATCAGAAAAGCTGGGGTCGAACATGGTGTCCCCCTCGTCTATTACAAAGAAGCTCAGCTCGCTCAAGTCCAGGCAGCGTCTCCGCAGGGCCTTGACCAGAGCGCCAGGTGTAGCCACTAAAATATCCGGCTGATCATTCTTGAAGACCACCTTGATGTGTCCTACCCCTTGCCCACCACCCACCGTCTTTGTCAGCAAGCCAAACGGAGCACAGAGAGTCCTGGACACAGTTGCCACTTGCTCAGACAGTTCTCTAGAAGGCACAAGTATCACAGCCTGGATCCTGCGTGCACTCGTTGTGTCCATCTCTGGTTCCTTATCAGCCTGCAGTCTGTGAACAATAGGCAGGAGGTAACTCAGGGTTTTCCCACTGCCGGTCTCTGCAGCACAGAGAATGTTCTGACCTCTCATGACCTTTGGGATGGTCTGCAGCTGCACAGTGGTGGGATGGGTAATGTTGATATTTTCCAAAATTTCCACCAGCTCCTTGCAGATGTGGAAGTTTTTAAAAGTCGCCAACGGCTTCTGTTCAACACCCTCCTTCTGATTGTCAGCAACAAAGGGCGCAACAGCCTTTATGTTGTTGATGGTGAAATGGTCACCGAAGGATTTGTAATGCTTCCATCCTTTGGAGCAGAGAATGGGCTCCTGGAACTTCCCCAACATGTAACCCACAGACTGGTTCAGCTCAGGGTTCTTGCTCTGGATCAGGAGCTTGCCAGCTTTGACGGTTCTGATCTTGTTCTGGCCTCCGGTCTGTTTCACGTTCTCGACGCGCTTCTGCAGGTAGCGAGGGACACGAATAACCGCGGTCCCTTCTGGCTTGGTGGCTGTTCGACAGAAGCGGGTCTGACTGACGGAACCAGCCGATAGTTTAACGAACTCGGGACAGAGTATCCTACCTGAGCAGAGGGCTCTCGACGCAGCTAAATAGCCGACCTTCACAGATTGCATTTTGGTGTTTAAAAGCTCCGCTGACAGCGTGGAGTCAGCTGACAGCGTGGAGTCAGCTGACAGGAACGAGCGACTGAACCACGAAGACGGAAGCAGTCTAGTGAACTCTGGAGCTTAAAGAGTCACTCTAAATGTCCAAAAACACCCTAAACATGTCAGCGTACTTCGGTGTTAGACTTGACAGCGGTTTCACCATGCTTCGCTTATCGGCGAATGTTGATGATGTCACGGGGGCGTTGAGTGATGACGCGTGTAGAAACGCAACGTCTAGATCTCATTTTATTCAAAGTCAGCAGCAAATGTACAGAAATAAACACAAATTTGATATATATTTATATATGTATATATAAAACGTGATCCCATAGTATCAATACATTTATTCAACACAAATGCAATAAACATATTATAAATGCTGTAAACGGATACAGTTTTGAAAGCCTTTTTGTTAAGAAAAGATTTAATAATTTTAATTTAATGTTCCCTGAGAAACACATGTATGTATATGGTATTTGGCCAATAATATTGTTAAGTTTACGAGGTAGAATTATTTCTCTATATAAATATTATTGTTATTATTGTTATTATTATGTTAGTTTTGAACAGTAAACCAACTGACCATCCCCAGACGAGTGTCCTTTCTCTAACCTGATCACTGTGTGAAGTCTTCTGCATTGAATCACTGTTCGAAATGGTAAATCAATCAGCCGATCACTGCCCTAGTGAATCAGCACTGCCTGCAGTACAGCGATGTCAGAGATTGTAATAGATTAGTGAAGGGTGAGAAAGAGCACTGTCATTGACACAACAGAGACTGTCGATAACTGTCCACATGATTCTGAGCCCAAGGCCCTGTAAATGCACTTGTATTCATCTGATAACATAGCTGCCAACTTTTCAAAAAACCTTGGAGTGAGATTTTGTCGGGGGTGACCAAAAATTATGCCGCGCACGCAGCCACACAAGTTGGTGGCTAAGATATCAAAGAATTGGAATTCATTTGATGTTGTACCCTGCATTCTGGTGGTTTGTGGGGAGGCCCAAAGCCGTTGATAGAGGCAGCCTACTGGAGATGGACAGTATTGGTTACATTCTGAGAAGCAGACATAGCTGAAGGTCCACCCCCAGGAAATTTTGGATTAAGTAGATGTGATTTCCTGCATTCTAGTGGATTTTTGGGTGGTCTGCTAAAGATGTGCAATACCTGAACTTATTCTGATTCATGTTCGGCATCATGACTTGTAGGGCCTTCTAGACTTGAGCTGAACATTCAACCAGAAAACAATAAAGCCTTATTCATAGACCAGTGTTTAAGATTGGACCTAGGTACCTGTAGGTTGATTGATATTTTGATTAGAATGGTATTAAACTGTGAATAAATAATGAGCTGCTATTTGGAGCATGCAGTATACCACGAGGTTAACAAGGTGCTCTCCTGCTGCTTGTTATGACAGATTTCACCACACTAAATCATGTTCACACGCACAAACAAATAATTTATATCAAGATTTAAAGTTTAAGAGAGTGAGTACTCAATTGGACGACATTTCATTGTTACATACCTAGTCTCTGCTCAGATCAAGGACAACATTTTGATTTCAGAGGTGGGGGGGACACAAGCATTTTTTGGGGCCTTTGGATGGCTTTATTTATAGAGACAACTGTAGGGAGACAGTGATGGAGGGTGAGGAGGAAGGAGATGACACCCAGCAAAGGGCAGTAGGTCGGATTTGAATCTGTGTCGCTACAGCAACTCCGTATAAGGGTCGCCAGCACTACCGACTGAGCTAACCGGCAGGCACCCCCAGTTCACAATAGTAGTTTTTTTTGTTTTCTATTACTACTTTGACGTTTCCTTTTTTGGTTTGACTGCATGTAAATGTAAATATAGAAAAAACATTCTGGACACACGCACGCACATGGACACCGATTCAAACGTGAATGAAACCTCTGATGTTACCTGGGCAACTAGCAGACCGGTGTGCAAGCAAGATGGAGTGACAGCATGGACGGCCAATCACACAAGAAACGGCAGAGCCAATCGAAAAGCTTGTGGGCGGGTCTAAACTAAGGGAAACAGGCTTCAGCTTGAGCGGCCGTTTTCCTCTTGGTCCTAGTGCTTGACGAGTCTCTGTTTACTGTAGCTTAACATTGTTTTTGGATGGTAAAAACTGCAGGTCGACCGAAACGGCCCAAGATCGGATTGTTTTGCGTGAGAAATTGGATGTGTGGCGTGAGTGCGTGTGAAAACAGGCAAAAGCGTGAGAGTTGGCAGCTCTGTGATAATTGTGTTGCCAATCAAAGCAGATCTACATTTAGCCTTATTATTGTTATAGGACTAGGCATCTTAATATAGTATGTAGTCTACACTTGTGAGGATGTGATCTTCAAGGCAAAAGACAGGCACATGTTTGTATGCCTGCAGGGTTCTTAGGGGATAATCCAGTGTTGCTGCTTTGCTAGAGAGAGAGTAAGCTAATAAAAAGAGGACTAATGTTTGCCAGTTGCCTGAATGTTTTCATTTATTTTGGTTCACATATACTTTGTCTTGCCATCAAATTATTTTCTGCAAAAGACAATTGTATTTATATCCAGCATAGAAAAAAAATGCTGTCTGCATCAGTGCTGCTGTCACATCTAGCATTGATTGTACATCAGCTACCCTTCCCATGTGCTGAATGAAATCAGCTCACTGATTGATTTACTGTAGCTTCAGAACATCACAGACACTTTTAGTAATAGAATCTCTGTCACATGCAGGACAAACCAGTGCTGTGTCAGCCAGAGTTTCTAGAAACTGGGGTTTTAGATTTCTGTGTTTCAAAGGAAGAAAGAACTGAACTGGGCATATACTGGTTACTTATATGTAAAGGTCTAGTTAATAGACAGATACTAGTTTTTTATTTAATGAGCCTTATCATTTGCTAAATAAAAACATTAAAATGAGTTAAATTCCACTGGGTACAGTTCTTTCAGTTCAGTTTCTTTTTTTTTTTTTTGGCTGTTGTCGATATTCAGTTTCACAGACTGAACAAAAGAGGGCAGCATAAATCAACAAGGAAGATTTCAAGTCATCTGAAATCCTAATCAGAACTGTGGTAGCAGGGTTTTGCAGTCTTACAAGTCTGCAATATTTCTTTCACATGTTTTCAACATAAATTAAACATATTGATTAATTAATAGATAAAATAACAAATACATGACATAAATTACAGAAGGTTTTTCTTACCAATGTTTGAGAATGTATATAAAAAAGAAATGTGTTTCTACAAAAGAGTGTGATTGCCTAAGTGGCCGACATTCTGATGCAGCACTGTGTGCAATTTGATATTTGTTGACATTTAGTGAACGCTGCGTGTGTTGCCATGGTGCTGCTTTGCATTTCTGCAGTGTTTGCAAACCCCAATCCTTGAAAGAGTGACACCTCTCAAACAGGACCAGTGTGGGGGCAGATGTAGTTTTTTCTTTCCTTCATAAGTTTCTTTACAAGAACATAATATCACAAACCACATCTACAACCTCCCACACAATTTGTTTTCTTTATCTTCTCCCTTCAAAGGTCATCTGCGAAGATAAGAGACGCAGGTAACCTGAATTAGACTCGGGTGGGTCTGGAGACTGTTGCACTGGAGAAAGTTCAGTCAAGTCATGTGACTGTCACATAATAATATGATAAACATTTTACAAGTCAACTCAATAAGATATATGATAAAGGTAAATATCAAGTCAGTAAATTGAGAGTTGTTTGGATTAATTTGAACTAAAACCTTAAGTTATTCTTTCTTTTGTAAGCACACATGGATAACTACTTATTCCATGATACAATAGTCATTATAATTGAGAAAGCTATAACTTTAATTTGCTTGTACCATTTTTAAGTAACATTCTTAAGTAAGTTATTTTATTTTCATTGACTCAAATGTGTAAGTTAACCACATAGAAGACTTGGTTATAACAATGCATATACTGACTTCTTTCGAGAGTACACAGAATACAGTGATCCAGACTGCGACTGGTTGGTGGTTCGGGACCTTCTTTACGCAATAATCATGTGACGCTAACAGTAACTGTTGCTCATAGTAGTCCATAAAAACAGCTGGTAAAATTACTTATCATTACCTATTCAAGTCAAATATACACCTGTTTGAGTACAAGATTTTTGTCCTTGTTTTACTAAGGTTTTTTTTTGCAACAAATAAATAAATAATTGAAATATAATAGTTTTCTTAATATTTATTGTTAATCAGACGACTGCATGCAGTCTTCTGTGACAGGATACCATTAAACTGAATTAAGTTTAGAAAGGGAACTGAAAATGGAACAGTATTGGTCTCTTCGAAACTATAATCACACCAACCCTTTCAGCATTGCAAAGAACAAATGTCTGTTGGGAGAGAATTGCTTCAGAAGATGGCAAATAAGTCAAAAAGGGTTCAACCTTGTGCTTTTGCTTGGAAATAAAGACCACAGGAAATGTGATATTGATGCTTTCAGATGCAATTGTGAGCTGAGCGCTTGTCTGTACGCCCACATACATCTAGCATAGGTATATGTAGTGTGGCTGTGTCAGAAAAATAAGAGGCTGTTGTCTGCTGCACATGCAATTTGTGTTGAGGATGGACTGATTTACATCAAACTGTGCTCTTGCAGAAGTTATTTTCAGCAATATAATACGTGATCTTTGGTGCTTTATTTCTTGGTACTGTGCATTCATTTAGCTTGAATATAGAAAAATATGCAAAGTTCATTTGATTTTACACTAAGAATATACATATATATATATATTTGTTTGTTTCTTTTATTGTTAAAATATTATTTTCATTTTATTGATCCATGATGGGGAGAATGGATTGTAGCAGTAATGCACCTAATAAAACTTAAGATGTTTTATAACTCTGCTTATCAGTGTTGCAAAAACCCTTTGGTAAAACATTAAAAACTTACTTGATAGTGGTAGATATTCTTGATCAGCAATTACTGTGTCTGTGTGTGTACATAGTACAGGTATGGGGCAACACAACAAGAATTTGAATACCGCAAAAAAGCTGGCAATTATGCAAGCTAATTTACTTATAGCATGTCAATAGATGAAAAATAACAAACAAACAAATAGTTTTGTCTTATATCTCCAACAGGGTTGAAGGAAATAACTGAATACCGATAGAAATGCTGTGAGGCCATCAGAGCAGCGAGCAGCACATTAAAGCTTTAGAGTGCATCAGCCTGTGTGTTGCTTACCCAATAAAGATTAACCCGAGGAGATTGAGGGGTTGGATAGACTCAGAGGTTAAAAGGAGTGGAACAACCCATATACTGACGGATTTATTATTGCTTTATTCTAGTCACAATCTGGTGAGAAATATTAAGAACTGCATTGCGATTGTAATAAACCAATGACAGAAAGGAATCTCTCAGAGCAGGAATATACAGTGTGATTTCTGAATATGCACAAGATACAAAACTCCTCATTAGCTTGACCATGTCAGGGTTACATTTAACAAGGTGCCTTTCTTTAATGCAGGGGTAAGGAGTACACAAATCCAATGTAGACATTTTCAAATGGCTGGATCACAATATGCTCATCTTCTCAGCCCTTATTGCACTTTTGGTTCACATTTTAGTGGAGTTTCCGAGGATATATACAATACAAATCACTGGGGGAAAAAAATCACAATTTGAGCAGGAAATACATTTTGAGAACAACATTTCAAACTGAGCCTTAGAATCTGGGATACAAATGGCAAATAAATACAGGTATTTAAACCCTGTGCCCTGGGAACACAAACAGCGTGTTTTCAATGACACTCGGTTCCAGGTGCAATTTAGGCTGCACCACCCACAACCTAAATGATTCAAACAGCTATGATCAAGATGTCTATTCTTCCTTACCTACGATATAGCTTCAGTCACAAGCCTAAATTAACTGATTAGAAATGAATGGACCTCTGTGCCGACAGGCTCAAGGGATCTAAAGGTAAAAAGTGCATCACGTCATTATACTTACCAAATCCTAGCTTGGACTGGAACCACACAGAGAGATAGGGCTGAGGGCCGGGCGCAATCGGATGTGATCTAATGGAGGGTGGTTGGAAGAGAATGGAGGGCCAATTAAATAGAGCAAAGTGGCTGTAAGACCTAGTTGTTGCAAGGTCAAAAGGTCTGTACATTTGGGTTTGCAAAAACAGCTTAATAGCACAATAAAAGGACATAATCAAAGGTATTAAATATTTATGATTTTTAGGTTTAATGTTTCCTGTGTTTTTTTTTTTTTTACTCCGGTTACAAAACATACAAAACCTTAAAAAAAATACAATATACGTTTGGCTCTGAACTTGGTAAGTCTTAAATAAAGTGTTTATTAACTCCATAGCTGTGGGAGCTTTGTGTCTGTGCGTGTTTGTGTGTGCGCGCGCCTTGTGTTGTGTCTGCTGACGTCACCACTGGAACTGCCTTGTCACGCGGGGTTAGTAAAAGTTGGGATAGGAGCTCCGGAGACAGAGAGAGAGAGAAACAGACAGGAGGAGAGAGAGAGAGAGAGAGAGAGAGGGAACGGGACAATTAAACGGACTTTTCATCGGCTTTATAGCGAGCATTAAACACCGGCGGAGGTCGGGAGACAGAGAGAAATATTGTCAGGAGGAGAGACAGAGGGGGCAGGCGACTTTCTCTGAAGTTGAAGCCTGAATAATTTCGCCAGTGAACTGCCAGAGGAAGAGGAGACAACGAGCGGTGTATTTTGGATTTGTCAAACGAGGGGGGGGAGACACGGGTTCGCGTATGGCCAAATGCTCTCGAGTTGGTAAATGAACAAAAGTTGAAGTTCGGCGTCGTGGCAGTCGGTAAATGTTGTGACATTTTAGGAGAGCATAAATTGCTCCAGCGGTCGACGGTCGAGTGGCGGGGTACAAACCCGAGCTGTCAAACCCGATGACTACTGCAAACTGCCCCGGGAATGAGGAGCTGGACTTCAGACTGATATTCGGAGAGGACGGGCAGCAGCAGCCCTTAGGCCCCGCAGGTCAGTGTGTTTCCTCTCGCTCAGCGGCGTGTTTCATACAGTAAGAACTGGTAGTAAACTCACGGCACATTTTGCTGTAAGGTCAACTTAAGTTACTCACCTAGGGTAGCTACTGTTGGCTTAATTTAGCCCGCCAGCTTTCGACCTTAATCTCGAAAGTGTTTGCTCTGTGAAAGAGGAACCGATCCTAACAAGTGTGTTTATATTCTGTGAAATGGAGATATTAAAATATCACGCGTCCTTTCTCTCGTGGGTCGCCCAGCTAATGTCCACAATGCCAGCTGTCATTAGCTCGACATGCTAGCCGGTTAGCACAAGTGCTGAATTGGCATTTGATCATTTAGTTGCCGACCCATTTAAAAGTTGTAAATGTCTCCTACAGTTTTTTTTGTTTTGTTTTTTGTGCAACAGATAGCCTGTCAACTGAGCGCCGTGTAACTTTGGCGGGACTGCAGCAGTTAGCGTTACAGTGTGGTTGATATGGTGTAAGTCAAGTATGGCTGAGTGAGGGACCAGGTTGAATGTCACTGAGGCACATTTCTGCAAAGGAGCACATGCTAATGTTGTCAAAACTTTTATTCACTTAATGTTTACAAAATAAGTTATAAATAGGACGTGTTCTAATAACTGTCACACTGTGTTATGTCACTGTAAACATAGGCTTTGCTGTATATTTTTAGTTATTGTCAAGTTTATTTGTGAATGATAAAACATATTAATTTAATTCAGCAAAACGTATGATTTATTAGTTATTGTTGATATTTATAAATGTAAAGACATTAATGTCTAAGAGTTATGCACAGCTACAACAAACTGTGCTATAATGTGTGTCTATGTACAGTAAGTACAGGTTGACAGCTTTATTTCATTTAGCTTGTGTCTACCAGGTCCAGAAATGAATTCATTACATTTGGGAAAAATAACAATTTGCAGAGGAAAAATAAAATGTTGTAATAATAAAAATACAAACATGGGTTATGGGTTATGGGTTATCCACTGTTGCTGCTTAATGAAACATTTTTTTCATGTGCTAGATGTCACAAATGTTAGGGACATAAACAAAAGAGGGATAAATTATCAAGTAATTGTTATGATGCTTTCAGTATTGAGGAACCTTTACTTTAAAAAACTTTGCAAATTAAGATAAGGTGATCCTACACTGGGCAAATTGGCTTGTTGTTAAATTAGTGATATACTGAACCTGTTAAAAGCTAATCTATCTCCCTCAGTGTATGTGTTTAGTAATGGGCTTTTTACATCCATGTTAAACTAAAAAGTTCAAACCACACTATTAGTCATAATTCTTTTTATTCCAAGTGCGTCAAACAATATGACAATACAACTTTAAAATATAGCTTTTAGATTGGTGGATACTTTGCTAAATGAGATGCCTTGGATTTGAATCTAGATGAGGATCTTTGCCGCATGACACTGCCTTCTCTCTCTGCCCCAGGCTAAACTTTTCTATAGGTGAGGATGCCTAGCAAAGTGGACAAACCTCAGAGGATACTATTTTCTTTTGTAAGGCTAGCTTGGAAACTAATGTCACAGTAGAGAAAAAGAGAATGAAAACAATTATGCAGTGCCTGGGTTAATTAATTGGTTATTAATTACAGACTATCATTGTACTAGTATGACAGTAGAAACAAAGTTACTAATCACGGATGATATTTTGTTTTGGAAAAGATTCTCAATGGAAACTTAACTGTAAACCTTTGGGTCCGCAAGCATCAGAACATGTAGCAGATCTGTCACAAATAGTTTGAAATTTTAGTCCTGAAGCCTTCCAAAGATGCCAGGTATTTCACACAGAATTAAAGGGCACCAGTATTATTGGACATACAAATGGTCATTGGCCATTAAAATGACCTTAAATTGTTGCTTGTAGGGCTGCATTATATCATTGGTCAGTTACCGTAACTAGTATCTTGAAAACATTGCTTAAAAGGGGTGTCAGGACTGAAATAAAAATTACTCCAGATATGTTAATCATATTTGATATGTGGATAAATTAACCAAGCAGTTTCTTTTGGAGTGTCTAGGCAATTATGAGTCGGTAAAGTTGATATATTTTCTTTTATGATTGACAGGAGCAATCCTGCTGTGGAAGCATGTGGTACATGTTTGCGAATGTTGTGTAGAGGTCATTAGTACTCATTTCTTTAATGAATGCAGGCACTTGAAAAAGGTGAAATGTTAACTAATAAATCAGGACAGACTTATAAAGCTCACACTTGCTGAAAAAATAGTAGATTCTCTCGGTGGAAACTAGACTGGTGGTGTTGCAGTCAAGTGAAAAATACAAGAAGTGACTAAAAATGCATACAAAATCTTTACCTACTCCTGTGAAGGATATACGCTGCTGCCTGTTGGGGGTTTTGTGTTGTTTATTCAGTTAAAATTAAAATATATATGTAAATGTATGGTCTTTTTCTTGGATAGTATACATTGTACACAGGCTGAGTGATTTAGGAAATAACAAAGCTCATGAGTTGGATTTAAACCCACAAATGTATGAATTAATGGCATATACGTTGGTCTTTGCATCCATGTGACAAAGTTCAGCATCTTCATTTGTTTCTGTCTTTGGGCCTAAACCTTTGGAACTTAGGAATTCTCCGGCTGTGTCCTTTTAATGAAACTCTGGCAAAGTAATAACTCTATGAAGGTTTGGCTTGTGCAATCTTAAATCAGTTTTTCCTTCGATTAAAAAATAAGTTTGATTTGCAGATGGGTTGAGGGGAAAAACTGCAGATGGAATAAGTGTAGGAATAAAAGCACCACTGTGCAAGTGGTTTTAATCTGGTCCGGACTGTATGACTTGGCCCAAAAGGGGGGCGCCTGTCCAAATTAATAACTGGAGTGTAATATGGGATCACACAGTAACAGGGAGTTGCACACTCCTGAGCTGGTCTCCTTCTCTGAAGGCAATGATCAAGTCAGGGCTTGTTTTTGTAACGACCTGGAGAACCTCTACTGTGAATATCTGGCAGGTTTTTACCCCACTGAGCTTCTTGTTGTTGAATGTTGCTTCAAATGGACTGTGAAAGTTATCATGTTGATCATCTATGCAGCCAATTCTTCACACTTTTAATTAAAGGGCTGTGAGAAGGACAGGTAACATCTCCAAAAATAGAAATGAAACAACAATGCCTCATTTTCTGTATGTCTTCTAGCACCTGAATCAGAACTTACGCTGTGTTACAAAAATGTACCTAAAAAAGGTCGCTGGTTGCTCATGTTCATGACAAATCTCTTTTACATATTTGTTATAATGGAATTGACTCGTGAACGTTGGCTTCCTGTACACTTTTACTCTGAGTCCAACTCTCGATTATTTTGCTGTCTTTCGGCGTTTCTGCTTGCATATGTGAATGTAATTTAAAAAATCTGTGTAATGGAGTGGTACAGTATAATGCCATGCCTCTCCGTCTGTCTGTTTTGTTCCGCTCTTCTTTGTCTGTCTGTTGGGTTTCTATCTCTTCATTCTCTTGCTCTCTCTGTGTTTTCTTGTCGCTCAGGAAACACTCACCTCTTTGAGGTGAAATATTCCACTGTTCTATTCACAGGCATTGGGCAAGCTTACTGTAAGGGTTTTCCCCTTATTATGTACAGTGCCAGCTGAATAGAGGTCCCTCTGTGAATCAGCTCAACTAGAAAGGGAGATCATTCATAATCATTTAGAATAGATTTGATGAAAGGACAAAGACTTTTGAACAACTTCAATCATTGTCAAAACAGGCATCTTTAAATTAAGAGTAAAAACATTAATAAAAACCTCTTCTAGAAATACTTTTTTCTTGTAAGGGAAATCACGTAATGAATTATTTATTTAGGTTTACTCTTCAGTCACATCTTAAAATACATGTTATTGCGAAACCAATACATTGGTAAGCCAGTATTATTTGCCAATTTAAACTTAACTATATGAGTTGTTGATGTTGATGTTGACCAAAACAAGAAAATTTAGTACAGAAATGTCAGACATAAATGAAACATATTAGTAACAATGTTGCCGCTATAAAATGTCCCACCCTTTTATGACTATTTCTTGATCATCAATTTTAAGGGCTCTTTATCAAATTTTTTTGTTCATGTTAATATTAAAAACTAAGGAGTGTTATACATTATTCAGTATGTAACAATGCCAAGTCATTAGTGTGGTTATCTAAGTCACTATTGCTCAATAATATTTTTCATGGTTCAGATATATTACGTGGCACTTTGAGAACAGGAGGTGCTACCAATTAGCTTCTTTTTCTTAGCTTCTTGTCTAATGGCATGGAAAAAGACATTGTTTGATTATATGTGCTGGACATGTGAGATATGCCCAAAACTGCTACAAGACTGCAGATTTTAACCCATTCACTTTTATTGCATATAATAATTTAAAAAAGCCACACTATATAACCCACGCTAAGCTCTAGCAAGTAGGTGTGACTCAAGACTAGGGAAGTTAGAAAACATCATGAAATGATTCAGTATTTTGTGACACAAGAAGATGATGATACACATCAGAGGGTGGAAAAATTAAGTTAAAGTAACGACAACTGATTCTCCTTTTTGAGCTCCCTGACTCATATTTACTGTGACAACAAGTAGCGACTCTGTATGACAGAAAAACAGATTTGTTTATTTTTTAGGAATTTATTTTTGCCTTTTTTTAAATTACATAGGATAGCTAAAGATTAACAAGAAAAGAGGGGGAGAGAGAGAGAGAGAGAGAGAGAGAGAGAGAGAGAGAATGACACACAGCAAAGGGCCACAGTTTGGACCTATCGCTGCAGCAAGGAGCCTCAGCCTTGGTACATGTCCTACCAGCTCTACCAGATGAGCTACCAAGGTGTCCCAGTTTCAGGAGTCCTACAATTTCTAAAACCATACTTTTACTGAAAGGTGGGATCAGTCATTCTGGGTAAACATAGTTGATTGTTGAGTCTCATTCCCAGGTCATCAAATATCGACACTTTGGGTTATAGTAAATGGGAAACAAAGAACCG